AAAAAGAACTCTCTGTATCTGGTCTGATAAATAGGCAAAGACATCAAAATCCATATGGGGAGAATTAAGTTCTCCTCCAAATGGCTGGCACATGTATTTGGCTGCCCCCAGGCTACCAATTCCATGGGTTTAGAGTAACAGCTGGGTCACTTTAGCTGTTTAGCAAGGAAGGACCAAACCACAAAAACTGCAGCCAGTGCTAAGAATCTGCAAGTGGATTACACTATAAAACTCTTTGGCTACATTTTTATGAGGGGGGAAAAAAAGGGTGGAAAACAATAATTAGGAAAACATCCAGGTTCCATTAACTAGTTTGGGCATTCAGCAGGTGATTTATTTTTAAGTACTGAAGGCAGTATTTCCTGCTGGATCTTGGTCTTACAAGACTGGATCATACCCCGGCATCTGTGTGGGCTGATGTACACTGATGTAAGAGAATAAAGGAAAATTCAGTTGGCTCCTTTCTGTGAGTTTTTCTTCCACATTTGACCTTAATAGTTAACTATACAATGATATCCCTGCTATTTAACACTGCAGTTCATTTATGGAGACCATTCACTATTATTTTTCACATTTTACTCGAGTGACAAGTGTACAAGTGTAATTTTTAAAATTACATTTATGCGAACATTTCTATGAGGCTGGCAAAGGGGTCATATGTAATGGAGTTCTGGAGGTTGCTTGACTTATATTTCTAGATTTTGCATCAAAACCTGTACTAATTTTCCTCAGTGTTTTGGGGTTGGCCAAGGAGTTGGTGTGATCATGCACATTTAGGCTGGTGAATTCCTTGCCCAAAAAAGCTACCCAGGGTGGGTAGGCTCCCGAATTTGTGGTGGAACAATGCCTTACATGCCTATTTTCAGACTCAAATATGATGCTTCTGCTTTTTTTAGATGATACACTTAATTCTGTATGATTTACATATATACATATAATACATAAATGCATATACCCACTCACCCCCCTTGTATTTTTTTGGTTTGTGTCAGTTTTTCCATATATATCATACAAACAGTCTGCTTGCACTTGATGAGATGTTTATGTCACAATTTTAGTTGTTTCTCCCTGTCCCAGCTAGTTTAAAATGATTTCCAGAGGAGGCTGTAGTATTTGATTAGAGGAGTAAGTGGATATTATGGCAGCAAAATAGAGATTCCTTTAAATCCTCTGCATCCTTTATAATTGTAATATTTTTATAGAGCAATGATTAAAGAATTGAATTTGTTTCATTTCCACGTGACTATATGACTATAAAAGGGTTGATCTTGTTTTTATTGTTCACCCTATAACCTACTGGGGAAACATAAAAACTGCCTCTGCAGTGGGAGCTGGGCAGATATACATATTTTGACTTAACACCTCCCTCCCCCTCCCCATACGCTTCTCAAATGTGGTTTTTCTCACACTCAAATGTGCTGTCTGTGGAGCCGCTTTGGCCCGGGGGATGTTCGGAGGAAGCAGGGTGCTGTGCAGGGCTGCTGCAGAGCACCACAGCCATTTCTACACCAACACTGCCCTCACGTGTCGGGGATTTGGGAGACTCAAATGTCAGTAACCAGACAATTAGCAATTCATCTTTATCCTCCGGGAGACAAAACACACAGCTGGTGTCCTCCTCTATGTACAAAACCAGAAGCATTAACTGTTTAAGGGCTGAGATGTTGCCACTCTCCAGGTTCGCGTTTTTTTGGATGGGAAAGCAATTCTCTGGCCCGAGCAAGGCTGGGAGGTTTTTTTGGTTTGGTTTGGTCTGGTTTAGTTTGATTTAGTTTACATTATGCCGTTCATAGTATCAGCAGGTCTCCACATCACAAAAGGGGAATTTTTGATTTTTGTCACCTGGTCAGGTATCGTAGCTGCCTGCAAGCAAGAGTGAAGCACCCATTTCATCACTTTGCATGGATCTATCAAGCAGAAACTGCTGATCACCACTGGTGTGTTGGATTTGAAGTTGTTGGAGAGGTGAACAAGTCCTGTTCTTTTGCAGGCATCAGGTGCAAGTGAGGGTTGAAAGTCAAACACTAAGCTGAACTGACAGAATCTGAGAGTCAGCTCAGTGGAGTAATTGCTTTTTTGCATCCAGTAAGAACTCAGTGGCTTAGTTTATTAACTGTGTGTGGGAGGAGGGATCATGGTATGGTTACAGTGTAGGAACAAGAAATCTTACAGCTATTTCTGGCTCTGCCACAGACATCCTGTCTGCCTTTGGGACAGTCATTTTTTCTCTTGGGCCCCAGATTAAACCAGGATCATTTAATAATTTCATCCTCGTGAAAGGTGCTCCTTCCCACCATGAGTTCATCCTAGACACAGAATGTGACATGTTCTACCTGCTCGTGCAAGTGATGTGTGCATTCCCACTTGGAGATCTGATACCTCTGAATATACCAGCCCTCACATTTACTGCTTGCACCAGTTTTTTACGTTCACTCTCTGGCATCTTATTTTACGAAAGCACTGAATTTCAGTTCTCTTTCCACTGACTTGAGGAGCAGGGAGATTAATTCTCCAGCCCAACACATCATTTTTCTACAGTAATAGCTTCACTCCTTTCCTTTTTTTTCTTAATGAATTTGTGCCAGGAAGTGTTCTTTTTTTCTTCACTTGTAGTTTCCACTGTATTTAATTGAAAAGCAATGGTTTAGTCCCCAACATCTTGTAAAAGCCAAGGGCTAAAAAGAGAGGCCTCTCTCTTTTTTCTTTCTTCCCCATTTGTTGGGGGTGGTGGGGAAGAAACAGCTGCTTTTTAGGGCTTTCTGTTGTGTATTAAAACAGGATCTGAGATTCAAGCCTGTCTGGAATAACGTTTGTAGTGCAAAGCCCAAGCTGGCTCAAGAGCTGGCTCCTCTTTTGAGCCCCCTCATTCCTACTACACAAATTTGCTCATTTTGCTGTTTTTGGGCCAGGTCTTTGGGAACAGCCTGTTCCCCCTGTTCAGGGACTCATCACCCCTTCCTCCTCTTTCACAACACGTGGGACAAGACGCCGGCTGTAGCCATCACTCTGCTGACTGCTCCTCTGTAGAAGTTCTTGCTAAAAAACCCAAATACCCTTTAGAAAAGTTGTTTGGATCAGCCCACCTGCCAAGCCTCACGTGGGAGACTTACGTGGGTAATGGTGATGTTCTCTCCAAGCTCCCTTTGTCTGTCTCTGTCTCTCCCTGTGACCCTGCTGGCCCCTCATCCTGATACTCTGCTCAGCTACTCCTGTGGGCAGCCAAAACGTGGCTGAGGGAACCCCAGGGTGTTGTCTGTCAGTATCAAGGACATGCTGCTTCCCAGGGCTGCATTGTGGGGCTGCCATGGCAGTCAAATCTAGATTAGTGACCTCAGTGCCTGGGCACCCACAGCATCAGGTAGCCTTACTTTGACATGGGGCTCCAGGGTAGGAGATGGACAAAAGCCTGCTGCAGAGCTGTGTCACAATGTAATGGCCCTCTGAGCTTGCTTGAGGGCTTAACCAGCTTTATTCAAGTCTTCCAAGCTAAATATTCTCAGCCAAGTACTGCTGATTTTCAGAAAGGGAAAGAATTCTTTCCCTAGCCATGAGATAGCGGCCAAAAGAAGGAACTTTCCCGTGCCAGGTCTGTAGAATTTTGAATGTGAGCTCCATGGAAATCCAGACCAAGACAGACTAGATGTAGAGAAATTAACCATGACATAGTAAGGAAACTTTACAAATGCGAGAGAACATCAAGGTGAAAATTTTGAATCTGAATTAAAGGTTTTCTTTAAAGAATGCTATCAAGTAGCCAAATTATTAAAAAGAAATGTCTCATAAATTTGAGCTGCAGAGAAGACCTCAGAGCATCTGTTGATGGGAACTTCCTTGGTTCAGTGCTGAAGAATCACTATTTTGGAATGAAACCATTCCTTTGTTCCCTTCTCATGAATGTCTGAGGTATTTGAGTAGTAGTCATTCCAAATGATCTTAATATTATGAATGTACCTGCTGCCTTCTAGCAGTTGCCCTGCATTTTCAGCCTCTGCCTGTTGAAACCCTCAATGCTTTCTGGTATTCTTAAATCTCTTAATATTTTGCAATCATAATGTTTGCTTTTAATGCTTCTGAAGTTTAAGTGATTCACATTCTGTACTGTTTTCACTCTTTTTTTTTTTTTTTAATTTACCAATCCATGTGGATTATTTGATGCTATGGCATGAAATGACAGATCAACATTTACCCTGAACTGGGTAATCACCTGAAAAAAAACCCCAAAGAAACAGGATATAGATCTAAATCCCTCTTAAAGATTAAGAATAAGGAAAAATATAGCAGAGTAAATGCAGACCCCAAGCATCCTCTCAGAAAAGCCACTGAAAAACCACTAAGAAGCAAGCAGTATCTGTTTTCCCTCCTGATTTGGGGAGTTCATGGTCGTGCGTTCTGTGAACATGGGGTATGAGACCCTGGTCCTCAAGAGCCAGCCTTAAATTCTCCTCAACCTCAGTGTAGTTTGTAGTAGACTTGAAAGTACTAGTTGTCTTACAAGACAAATGTATTTGGAAAAATAAAATGTTGTTCCTTCTCATTTTGTATCAGTCTCTTCGTAAAAAGCTTTCTTGCATGTGTATCTGTGGTTTGCTTTTCCTAATAAAAGAGCCTGAGTAGAAAGGATACCCCAAATGACATGTGAGTAACAAAATTCACAGTTTTTTGCTCACCTTCTGATAAAGGCAAATGCATTTCCTGCCATTTTTATAGTTCTGGTGAACTGAAAACATAAACAGAGGTGGGGAAGGAAGAAAAGTCCTTTTGTATTACAATTAAAATGCTGAATTCAACTGTTTTCTTGGAAAGGTAATGTGAGCTCTGTGTGGGGTCAGATACAGGTCCACACCAGTGTTCTAATACCTCTTTATTTTTCTCTACTTTGTGTCTGAACTCAAATTGAAACCAATAAGATTTGGACACTCCTCTGAGGCTGGGACCTGGGCTGAGGAAATGAAGAAATGGGAAATTGAAGGTATAACTTCTTAAGGCTATTCAACCAAGAAGAGTAGAGGAAATAGGAGAAAAGTGGCCTGGAGACCAGGAGAAATGTTGGGGTGTATGCAAGGAGACGGATAGTCACAAAGGTCACAGAAATTTGGCTGTTTCTGACTCAGCTTGACCTAAGGGCCTGTCAGTCAGCCCCATGCCAACAAATTCCCATCGTGTGAGACTTCCTTGAACCTTGAATAGGCTTTATGTCCTCGCAGTGGCCTGGAAGGTGAGTGTTATTGCTGATAAGTGCTGTGCCAGTTCACTGGAACCTGCTCTCTCCCCTCTCTGTGCTTTGTTGCTGAAGGGTTTGCACAGTTGAGGTCTTTCTTCTTGTGTGTGTGTTAAATCTCTACTGTTAATCTCCTTGGTAGATTTGAGAAAGAAAAGGACAAGTTTAAAAATGCTCTTCTGACTCCAGATTCGAGTTTCCTGTTGATACAGCTGTGTGTTTTCTACTGGATGGCTCTGTAAACCAACGGTTTAACCCTTCAATTCTTGCAGTTGTGTTGCTTCAGCATCACTAGTTTGTCTTCTGAAAGAAAATTTCCCCTCTTGCTTCTGTCCAGAGCATCCTTATTTTATTCTTTCTTCTTTTTGCACATCCTCACGCATTTCACATCCTGCTGTGATTTACCACTTTACTCAAAAAGAACAGGATTTCCTTGTGCCTTTGGTGAGAAAACTTCTCTCCTTTACAATCCCCACTTTCTAGTGTGTTTGTGGAGGGAAAAGTAATTACACCTTCTAAATTTAATTTACAGTAATTAAAATTTAATTATCAAATTCCCTGACAAGAGCACCAGCAGAAAACCAATGCACCAGAATTCTCCATAAAAAAATTTTAGTGTATGAGATGAGAACTCAGCATACATTACATGCCAGGGTATTTCAGCCTTTCATACCATAACAAAATCTTCATCTCTTATTGTTTTAATTCTGGTGCTGAGTCTTTTTTCATTCTGCTTGAATTGATGGCATGGTGGCATCACATCTATCGATGAGGACCTGGCTGCATCTGGCTGTGCCACCCTGGGTGAAACCTCTCTGCTATTGAAGTTACAAGTATATCCAGCCTGAGGAATATGATGACTGTCAGATTATTGTTCCTCTTATCAGAACAAAATGGAGAAACCTTTACTTTTTGTCTAAAGTAGATGGTTTCAAGGTGCTCAGCTGTGGTGTTCCACCATATTTGAACTCCTCCAGACACATCTAAAAGTCATATTCAGAAAAATTCATATGCTACAAGCTGAATACTTATTTTTCTATGGGTGCATAGATAGAAATTTTTTCTTCCCAGGCACAGCACCAGGAAAGCCCTGGATGTATAGTCCTTTAAATGGCTCTAATATTCCTATCTCTCTCTATCCATACTGATATCTTCATAGGGGAACTCTCTTGGGATCTCTCTTGCCCTTATTCCCTGTCTGCCATCTCCCTTGATGGCAGCTGCATGTTCTTCCATGGTCTGGGCAGTTCACAGTCTTCAAGGTTTGTTTCTTGTAGCCAAAGAAGTGTTACCATCCCTGTTCTGCAGACACAGAGAGGCTAAAAGCTGAGTTCAAGCACCAAAGTCATGCCCTAGTCTTCCAACATAGCGTTTACCTTCTCTCCCTTTAGCTGCCTCAAATTTAGGCATTTTATCTGGAGTAATCGAGTCTCCTGTGTGGTCAGTGCAATGATCCCCTCAGCTGTCAGCAGAGAGGGGTCCAGGGTTTGCACCTAGCAGCTTTGAGCGCAGCTTGTTGCTCAGAGGAGCTGAGAAGAGTGAGGTTTTTTACATATCATTTCATCAGTGCCAAAGATTCCATTGATCTACTACTGCATGTCTCACAAATGTAGTAAAGGCTTATAACCAAACTTGCAATCTTCTACAGCACTACACAGTGAGCTGGGGACTTGCTCCAGGAAATTTTTGAAGTCAATGTCCATAAACATTTGACTGCCAGAGGTTTTATTTGTTGACTAGCTCAAATTAATTTGACTGTGCAAATCATCTTTCATTAGCATAAATATTCTTTTAAGGCATTGCTATTTCAGTGATGCTGCTCTACCTGTCATTTATCCTTTGCAGTGACTATGAGAAGTGAACAAGATGCACCCATGTGCAATAACAGTGTGGCTATGTGGTCTACATTAGAAAAGGAACTTCTCTTAAGGAACTGTCAAAAACTGCTGTCAAAAACAAGCTGCTTCCATTGGCTCCTTTTAGTAGTCTTATTTGTAACTGTGTCTTACTATATGGGTGCCTCCAGGTTCCAGTCAAAACTGATTTACTCTCCTCCTCTCTCCATCTACGTCTATCCAGTGACAAGCTGAAAGAGCTGGGGTTGTTCAGCCTGGAAAAGAGAAGGCTCCATGGAGGTCTCATTATGACCTTCCAGTACTTATAAAAGCAGCTTATAAAAAAGGACAGTGACTTTTTACATGGGCAGATAGTGATAGGACAAGGGGTAACAGTTTTAAACCAGAAGAGGAGAGATTTAGGTCAGATATTAGGAAGAAATCTTTTACTGTGAGGTGTGCAGTGACACAGGTTTCCCAGAACAATTGTGGATGCCCCCATCCTTGGAAATGTTCAAGACCAGGCTGGATGGGACTCTGAGCAACCTCATCTAGTGTATTCTCGTCTTTTCTGGGGGAAAGCTGGTCTGATATCCTCTCAGTTATGTAAGAACTGAGTAGTTTCTAAATTCACTTTTAATAGCATGAATTGACCCTCAAATAGCTGTGTGCCCCAAAACTGTGCCCTCCTGATAGACTTGTCTTGAAAGCAGAATTTTCTTTTCCTTTCTTAAGAAATGAAAGGTTTGTTTGTGTTTGGGCCTGCAGCTTACATGAAGTTAATGACAGCATTAAGAAGATTAATAACATGTAAAAACAGTTCATGGTTTTACATGTCTTATTAGATGCTCTCTTTGGAATTACAGTGCTGGTGTTTATTTGTAGCATGATCCCCAGATAGGTTTAAATCTCTTACAGAGAACTTTCTTGTCTCAGATAGGTGCCAGCTTTAAGAGATTAGTTTCATACTAGATGGCATTCAGTCTGTGGATTCTGATGTCCTTTTGCATATCCCTTAGGATCAGGTACTGTATGGCATTTCACACCTGTCTATCACCAAGCCTGAGTTGGGGAGCTGGGTAAGAATATCACTAGATCTCAGTTTCCCAGATATCAAAGGAAAAGGATGCTTCTTTACAACATTCTCCTTTTTTGTAGACCACAAACTAAACTACTTGTGTGGGCTTGTCACTTCTAACAGTTCACACAAAACTCAGGAGTGTCCTGGATCTGATACATATGGTGATAAGTACACTGAGTATCCTCAATTTGCCGTCTCCACCTTTCTGCTTACAAAACCTGTACTCTGATCTACCTCGGTGTCTCAACTATCATCTAGAAAAGTTAACAAATTACAGATTTGTTTACTGTTCTTTTCCATTCTCATAGCCCTGGGCCAATGATGATCTCCAATATCATTTTTGTGAAGGGTCATTGTGTACATGGTTTGGCAAGCAGTGTCGCTGCTCCACATGTTGAGCTAGTAAATTTCTTCAGATAGGCTGGGCTTGTTCCAGGGATTTAGGCAGATAAACTCAGCAAAGCTTGGGAAAAGGAGGCCTCTAGCTAATCACCACACTCCTGCTAAATTATCTCACCATAAAATTGGCAAGGTCGCTTGTGCTGATCTCAGTTTAACTTCTAATATGAGCTTACAGCAATTCATCATTTCTCTAGCTTATGGATCACCATGTTTCTGGCTTGTTGCCTGTGTGGTGTGCATGGGCACAGACTCCCTTCCAACCAGGTTCTGTACATTTGAACTCATGCAGAGCTTGCAGTTACATTTCTATTGAATTTACTGGTTTCATTTAAAAGTTCTTAGTCTGTTTCTGCATGTCTCGTGTGTGTTCTTGTTTTTTGGATGTTGCTTTCTAAGTCAGAAGCAAAAATGCTCAGAAGTGTGTGCTTAGCATTCAGCTGCTTGCTTCTCTTTTTAGACATCAGGTATCACTACTACAAAGGACTTCGGAATTCTTTTTTAAGAATCTTTTTGGCACATTCTAAAGTACAGGGACAAAATCTAGGGGGATTTTAAAAGGCAGTTGTTTGACTTTGGTAACCTCTGATATGGCTAAAAGCTTGATATCAGCTTTAGGAAGAAAACATTAGGAAGATAATGTCTCTCCAGGGAATTCAATACTTCAGTTCCTTGAGGATGTGATTTAAAGCAGCATCTGCTCTGTGCTGTGTAGCATTTTATACTTTCCTTCAGATCCCTGAACTGAAGATTGTTTGGATATGTGTCTATTTGTGTGACTCAGTTTATAGCACTCAAGAGAAATGTCAAGGGAATACTGTCTAGGATCTTGAAAGAGAGGCAGAAGGGACTTATGTGGCATCCCACCCTTAAGGAGAAGAAAGCACCCGAGATTTTTAGATGCTCATGGTTGAAAGGAATGACAAAAGTTAGAGGGTCCACAAAAGTTCACAAATTTTTATTAGTAAATTACACACTTGGCCTGGAAATTGATATAAGTAAGTATCTGTTCTCCCAGTGTAAACATGGCAGTGTGTTTTGGATAAAGGGGTAGGGTGAAAGGGAAGGGAGAAAGAGAGAGATACGGATTAAAGAGGGTGAGAAAGAGAGAAAGGAAGAGTCCTGTTGTTCCAGCTGCTGGGATGCCCAGGGTTCTAAGGGGAATGCATGCCTGTGCTTCATGGGAGTACCATTTTATAGATAAGTTTTCCCTGCCCTGGAGATAAGTTTCTCACTTTCTGTGTAAATTAGTTATCATTCACAGTCTGTTTTTCCAGACCTTTATGGAAATGAGTCAGGGGGGTTTGGGGGTCTTTGGTCATCTTGATGCCCCATACAGTCTGTGCCCACTTCTCAATCAGATGCTCAAAGAGTTTGATGAGGAAACCGGTATAAGGTGTTCAGTTCCTTTTTGCTCTTTGTGATAACATGAGGACGCCAGTTATCTCATGTTTGTGGTTCATCCCTCACCCTGCCTTTACCATGTAATATGACTTTAACTCACAGAGAGGTTTTGTGGTTTGTCTTCTGACTATGTGAGTTTTCAGAGATTTCTAGACACCTGGTACTTTTTCAGAACATCAGTTCAATTTGTTGCTGTCTGGACGTATCCTATTGTCTTCAACTTCTTTTTCCCTTCCTTAATTTAAATACTAGTTCATTTGGTCTTCGGAATTTAATCT